TTAGGGCTGTTGTACACAGGGTCGCTATGAGTCACAGGCGACTCGACGGCACATAACAACAACAACAACAACATACTATTACCTATATGGATAGGAAACTCTGGTTTCAGAATCTTTACAGCTTCTGAAAACCCACTGGAGGATCAGCTACGAGTCAGTTCCAACTCAGTAGTACAAAACAAAAACACCTATATGGATATAATTTAACTCAGACAGCAAAGTCCCTGTAACTCCTTCTGCTTCTTCAATCCCCATTTGGAAAAAAAAATCTGCTGTTCTTGTCATCTCTTCTTGTTTACCTCCCATAGTCCTTGTTCAGGCCACTCCATCTCCTACATGAATTCTTTCAGTGCCTCTGTACCAACTACTCTGGCCCATTCTGCCCTCTCTTCCAATTCACTACCCAAGTTTCAGCCAGACTAATCTTTTAAAAATGTAAATTTGATTAAATGTAAATCAGGAATTAATATTAATGAATTAACTGATTCATGTAACAGTATGTATGAATGTAAAAAAATTATGCTTAATGAAAGAATATATGATTTCATGTATATGCAGTTATGAAAAAGGCAAATCTATCCATACAAAAAGACAGTAGAAATTTCTTTAGAGAAAGAGAGGTTACCTGGGAGTGGGGTGGAGTGGGGAAAGAGAGAAAAATGTCATAAGGGAATTTTCTGAGGTGACAGAAATGTTCTCCCTGGGAGATGAGGGGTCAGAACCTGATGGTATCCCCTGTGCTCAAGTCTGATGATGTCACCTATCTCTGCAAAGCCCCCCAAGAAACAGGCTCAGACTAGGGTGACAAAGGGGCAGAGAAGAAAAAGGAAAAGATCATCAAAGATAAAACTTTTGGTCTGGAGAAAAAGGAGCAAAGCCGCAAAAGTTTATCTAGGCTGTCATGCGTCAAATTAAATCTGGTCCGCAAAATCCAAAATCAGGCAGCACAAAATAAAGCTGAAAAAAATGGGGGCAGAGGGAAGAGTAAAAGAAGGAACTGCTGGAGCTAAACAGATTGTTCAAGCCTGTAGTTGCTGCTTAAAAAATAAGATTCTAAATCCATGGTATGTGTGTTCTTCAAGCAAGGGCACAGTGCTAAAGGAGAGACGTGTAAATCTTCTCATGACTTGACTGTGATGAGAAAATGTGAAAAGTGATGTGTTTACATTGAAGGAATTAAAAAAAAAAAACAAAAAGAAGTGATGAACATGAAGCATGGTGAGGCAGAAAAGAAAAAACAAAAACTCAAATAGTGTGCAAGCATTGCTTTGAAGCTGCTGAGAATCAGTATAGATGGTTTGGGGTGTGTCTGGAGGGCTGGTATGTGCATGTGTATATTACCAAAATCACTCTAGAATATTTTCCTACATGAAAAAACGGGGAAAGATAAGAGACAACTGATGAACCTGAGCAAGATATGAAAGAAGGAAAGCAGACTTCAAAGCAGGGAAAGCACTAGAGATCAATGGTTGATGTTTAGGAGGGGTTTGAATTTCGCCCTGAGCTGGTCAACTATGAGGAAGAGGAAGAGATGATCGTTACACATAGGGAACAAGTGGTTAGAGGCTGATGATTCTAGTGTAAAAACCTGTACATTCTAAGAAATGTGGCAGAGACAGATGTTACTGTCTTGTTGTCAATCTTGAAAGACTTAACACACATACTTCAGAAAAAGACAAAAACAGTGAACATGAGAAAGAAGTCATTTGGAAGATAATATTAAAGGGGAGGAACAGGGAAGTGGAGCTGTCAATGCTGTTCCTACTGATGAAAATCTTTTCCCTGGGGAAGATCTGGATGAATTAGAAGAATGACACTAAGTTAATGAAAAAGTTGAAACAGACTACATTAGTTTTTCTCTCCACTGAGAATTTTTTAACAAGGCACAATTATTTACTGCATTAATTCTTTAAATCTTACTCTGTCAAAAAAAAAAAAAAGAATGTTCTCTCTATGTCATCTCCTGATGTCGACTACAGGGAATGTTCAGAGTGGTTCATGATAAACGGAAATATAAAGGCACTTAAAGGAAATGACTGTTCAACTGTCCTCTCAAGTAGGAAGTGTAATGGCTTTTCCCAACTTTTGAGGATGTGTTATTACTATGAACAACATAAATTTAAATAAAAATACTTCATTTAAAATAAAAAAGGGAAAAAAATCCCCAGTATTGGGTTTGTACAAATTGAATCATCCACTTAATCGGTCTGCAACTAATAAACAAACCTCTTGCTGCATAGAAAACAAAAAAATATATATATATATTCTCCATGTCAAGGACTATACAAGTAAATATATATATTTGTTGAAAGTCACTGAATAACACATACACTCAAAAGGGACTTAATATATGTAAATCAAACCTCAATACAGTTGAAGAAAAAAACTTGACCACATCACATTCTTGCCTAAACTTTCTGATGATTATAAGCTGTCTTAAGGATAAAATACAAACTCTTGATCTAAAATTCTTAACACCCTGCCCCTATTCTCATTGCTTTTTTCCAGACTTATCACTTTCTACATGTTTATTTGTCTAAACATATCAAGCTAATTTCCTAGAAAATTCTTTATAGCATACAAGGCCCTTTCCCAGGCTTTCTACTTGGCAAGTTTAAACTCATCCTTTGGGTTCCTGAATAAGCATCACCTCCTGATGGGAGCTTTCACTGAGTTTAAAGTGCTTTCCTCACTGTACCTCACTGCATCTTGTGCGGACCTCTGTTCCAACACTTGTTGCACTGTCATGAATGGTATTTACATTCTGTGCCTTATACGCACTAACTTCACTACAGAGCAAGCATTTTAGATTAGGGATTCTGCTTCATTCATGTCTGTATCTCCAGTGTTGAGCATCAAGTAAGTAGTCAGTAAAGTGCTGCTGACTGATTGAATAGATGACTCATTTGTTCAAAGTAAATTGGCCTGTGTTCCTTGATGTTTCCAATTCCTGTGCAGCTGGAACATTGTGGTCTGGGGCCTGTGGAAAGGACCAGCTGAGTCCTTTTCCTGCCATCCCCTCAAAACTATCTATTTCTCCTATTGAGAGCCCTACTGATCCCCCAGCGCTTGCCTATTATGTGTGTACAAGGACTTTTGCAGCAGAAATGGCAATGGGTGTCATTAGCAGAATACTTCCTCTACTGCTCCTCATTCCATGTCACCCCACTCACCAAGCATTCCAGGAGACGAGCTGGACGAGCAATAATAATCATCAGCTTTTTCACGAGCTGTATAACAAAAGCTACCTCCGAGCTGTCTGAACGTTCATGGGCCTGCAAAGAAGACAAAGGTCACTTCAGTGGTCTACTGGCCCATTGTGGTTGGACTAAGCTGGGCAGGGCTGACAACAGGGGAAACAATTTAATGGTACAGAGAGCTCTAACAAAGAGCTCAGAGAAGGTCAGGTGGGTTATGGGGGAGGAAGCAATTTGTTAATAAAGAACCATCTGAGCTTTAGAACACTGCATGATACTACACACTTACACACAGAGCTTCACCTGTTCTTCCATCCAACAAGTTTCACTTAGCCTCTAGATCCCAGCTCAAGGGGCAACTCTCAATGAGCTTTCACTGATGTTATGTTCGCTATCCATCCCATACTGACTAGAAGGAAGAAAGACCTCCCAGCATGGGAGTGATAGGAACAGGTAGATATTTGAGAAGTATCACATGTTTCTAGTGAAGAGGGTGCATTACACAAGCCAAAGCAGGAAATCTAAGAATTCAGGTGAAAAATAGGTAAGGCAATAATTAATATAAAAAAACAGACATGAGCAGGTTCTCATTTCTGAGGCAGAGGACTAAGCAGAGCCAAGAGGCAGAAGAAAAAGGAACAGAAGAGAACTCAATTTTAGGGACATAGTGAGGTACTTATATGGGATACTGAGTATTTGCTCAGCTCAGGAACCTTTCTCTTTTCTCTTGGAACTGCTCTGGCTTCTGGGAACCCATTCTTATTAAGTGGATGTATTCTCCCATCCTATTCACTGAAGCTGACTGGGATTGGTCCGTATTGAATTTATCGATACTATTTCCTTGTTCTTAGTAGGTGCTGTCTAGTTTTCTCCAACTTACAAAGACCCCAGGTACCACAGAACAAAATCCTGCCTGATCTGTGCCTTCCTCAGTCTTTGCTCTGCTTAACTCCACTGTTCCAGTCACTATGAATTCATCTCACAGAGGGTTTTCCTCTCATTTGCTAAGCTTCCACTTTTCAAAGCACAATGCCTTTGTTCCAGGGACGGGCTCCTCCTAACTTATGTCAAAAGTATGTGACACTAAATCATTATCCTCGCTTCTTTGGCAGCACTTCTTCCAAGACAGATTTATTCCTTTGGCAGTCCATGGTATATGCAGTATTCTCCACTAATGCAATTCAAAGGTATCAATTCTTCTTCAGTCTTCCTTATTAGCTGTCCAATTTTCACATGCATATGTTGTTGTCCTTGAGTGGAGCACAACTCATAACGACCCTATGAATGGAAGGCCTGAAGCCTTTCTATAACTATTGTCACTTATCAAAGTTCACAGAGTTTCCAGAGGCATGTTCTTTATGAAGTGGATGCCACTTCCAATGCAAATGAAAATACCATGGCTTGGTTCAGATGCACCTGAGTTTTTAAATAGAAAAGCCTTGTTCTTTAGACTTCAAAGAGGTCCTTTATAGTAGATCTGCCCCATGTAATTTATCTGATGATATCTTGACTACTGCTACCTCAGGTGCTGATCGTGAATTCAAGTAAACAGAACCATTCACAATTTTAATCTTTTCTCTATCATGATGCTCCTTATTTGTCCAGTGGTAAGGATTTTTGTTTTCTTGATGTTGAGATGTAATCTGTATTGAAGACTGTGGTCTTCTTAAGTATTTTCAGTCTTACTCATTTTCTGCAGGGTTGTATTATCTGCATAGTGTAGTTTATGACTTCTCCACCAATCCTGACACCATAGTCTTCTTTTCATAGTCCATCTTCTCAGATTTTTGCTCAGCAAATAATGAACAGATTTGTTGATAGAACTCTGATGTATATCTTTCTTGATTTTTAAGCATGCATACATTCCCTTATTCTGTTTGAATGTCTCTCTATGTACAAGTTTCCCATTAGAACAATTAAGTGTTCCCATTCTTCTTAATGTTATGCAAAATTTATTATGATCCACAGTTGAATGCCTTTGATAGTCAATAAAACACAAGTAAATATTTTCTAGTTTTCTCTGCTTTCAGCCAACAACTAATATTGGAGTGTAGCTAGTGTTACATCATCTATTCTTGAATAAAATTAGATCACTCTGGTGACTCAGTGGTAAAGAACTGTGCTGCCAATCCAAAGGTATGCAGTTCAAGTCCACCAGGTGCTTTTCAGGATGCGTGCTCTCGTTTCATGTGATTTACTGCCTCAAGCCCACTAACGGATCAGCTATGAGTAAATTCTGACCTCCCAGTACTAAACAAAACAACCACAAAAGTAGAGAAAAAGTGTCCCAGAGAAAATGAGAGGTAAGACAATATTTCCTGAGCTCCCCGCAGGTTTGGTTTCCAGTGCTGAACTCTCCTTAAGGCCTGGTTACATTCAATTCTCTAGTTCTCATCATTAGTTTCCTTTTGCTCTTAACTACTCTGAGGTATACTTCTATTATTTACATCCAAAGACTATTACCCAACATTGGACGTCAAAGTGAGGCATTCATAAGCAGCTGGACGTACTGATCTGTTGCTCAGGGGAACAGTACCAGAGACAGCTCGATGCGGGAGTTTTCAGCATATGCCTGACAAGTGAAGACAGGCAGTGGGCAAAGCTGCTCAGGGAGAGAAAGGTGATCAGCCATTCAATACAAGTGCTCAGAATTGAAGACAATAGCAGCAAGACAGAATAGTGGCAACAAGAGAGAAATGACTCAAGAAGAGGTATCAATTATGTCATCTTCTGTAGGGCAGAGAAAAAAGAGAAAAATGGAACGAGGTCAAGGATCTGATAATTGTTAAGACTTAGCCCAAAGGTCACCAGTTTTGTAAAGCTTCATCTACGTCCCTGCCCAAATACCCTCACTCGTGCACGCATGCACTTACACACTCAAGAAATGACTGCTTCATATTTTCTTTTCCTAGCTGTTTCTTCACATCACATGGTAGCAACATGTTGTTTTAAAGTTAGCTGCTTCTCTCTAAAGCCACAGAGTAGTTTTATGAGAAGAAAGACTGTGTCTTTGCTCTTTTTTCTTTCCTCACATGCCAGGTAGAACATAGTGTTCTTATATAACAGCTGCCAGTCAATGTCTACTGACTAAGTGTTTGAAAATGTATACCTCTCAGACTCTGAAATAAAATAAACCTAGGTTTGAGTCCTAGCTCTGCTACTTGAACAGGTTTCTTCGGACTAATAACTTAGCTTCTTTATGCTTCAGTTCCTCATGTGAAATCTGGGGAATAACAGTGGAACTTTCCTCATAGGATCTTTGTGAAGAGTGAATTGGGCAAATTAAATGATATAGCAAGTTTAACATGTATTCAGTGCTCATTCAATGTTAGTGATTTTTATTATTTTATTTATTATGGTTTGGAAAGCAGGAGTGGCATCCACTTCCTAAACAGCATGCCTCCGGAAACTCTATGAACTTTGATAAATGGTGATGGTTGTGGAAGGGCTTAACACCTTTTGTTCATAAGGTCGCTATGAGTCATGCTCGACTTGAAGGCAATCAACAACATTTATTATGATACTGTTTTAAATGCAAATATGATCATAGCAATTTACAACTTTAAAACCATTAAATTATTTTAAAACTACAAAGAGCTACTACTGCTTTCATGATAAAAGTACTTCCCAAGGCTCCTCATGACTTATCAAGCAGTCGAACCTTTCAAATTTATCTACCAACTTTTTCCTGCAAGCATCTTTCACAATAGTTATACCTGACTATTTAATCTGCAATTCCTAGAATGTAGCAGGCTCCTTTATACTTCTGAGAGAGGTAGTCGTACTGTTTCCCAGGTTTTAGTGAACTCCTACCCATGCTTCAACTTTCCCTGAATTTCCCATGCAACATTAGTTAACACCATCTGTATGCTCAGAATCTACACCTGCTTAGTGCTCATTAATCACAATGTACTGTAAAAGATAGAATTCACAAGAAGATTCAATATAATGTGTGGTACTCAGTACGTAACAATAAATGATAGCTGTTCTTTTAGTTTTAAGTATGTGCTGGTGGGGCTGTAACACAAGGCAATTACATATTCCTTTAGACAGCATTCTGGTTACAACAAAATGTGTATTTTGGTTTTAGTCATCTCTGGATTACACCTGGCTTCCCAAAGTCTCTTCACAGTAGCAGGAATGAAGACTCTAAATACTAAATAAGATTCTTACTTACTAAATAAGAACTTCTCATCATACATATGGATAAATCCATAATTTCAGGGCTGGCTTTTCTTTGGCTAAAAAGAAACCATCTAAAAGCTTGTTTTCAACTATATGAGTGCCCACAACAGCTTCTGAGGTAACTTTTTGGTTTTAGGTCGCAAAACCTCCTAATTAGATACTTATGAATACTAACAATGTTAGAGTTATAGGTAGAGGAACACAAGCATAGAGGTAGGAATAAAAAAAAAGCAACCTACTAAGCTGAGGTCCTTTGATATGAACAACAGGCTTCTCTCAGTAACACAGGGCACCAAGGAAGATACTGACACCCATTACCACCACACTTGAAGGTGGGCCCTGTAACCACCAGCGAGGGAATGCACAGGGAGTTCCAAACTTGGGAGATCCACCCTGGTGTTGGCAAAAAGATTAGAAAGACTGAGGCCAGCACCAATGTCTTGATCTTAGCTTTATATTACGAATGTTCCATGTGGAGACTTCATCAGAGCAAGGGTAAAAGATACTCACATCTTAAAAAAAAAAAAAAGATACTCACATCTTGCAGAAGCTTCTCTAAATTTTCCTGAAGTTCGTAGAAGTAGTGTGATGTAATGAGGCCACTCCGAGATTTATCTAGGCAGTCTCGAGCCATCTCAATCACCTGATGATGAATAAAGCTCAGGGCTCCATCTGCCAAGGGCAAAACACTTTCTGGAGTATTGGATGAAATAAATTCTGCTAGTCGCTCTTCCATTTGCGCTGTGGCCTGGGAAGAAAAGCACAGGAAGAAAAAGAATCACACTGCCCTTCTAGTCCCAGCTTAGTGGAAGCTAAGCTTGAAGGACTTGGTAGCAGTATAAGGATGGGTGCCATGTGACCTGGCTTCTTCACGAGCATCTGGTAAAGCTCTGGACTAGAGACAGGGTGCGGGGGTATTGTATACCAATGAAAGAATTTTCTTTTACTTTTCAAAGAGAGGAGAGAATTGGGGGAAAGGGGTGGGCAGGGAGAAAAGTGCAACAATGACTGAATAGAAATCTAAAATCTCTGTAAATGATCATTAAAATTGATAAAATAAAATTTAAAAAAAGATTACTTTCAAGTCAAATAAAACACTTCAGCATATATTCAGGCCTACCATCAAAACCTCATTTATTTTCCTAGCATTCCCTATAGATTCTTGCTCTTTTGTCCTCAAAATCTTCAATTTTTTTTTTTTTACCTCCTTTACCATGCTATCATGATTCTTTCTGCTGTTACCTACATGTGCTTTTCACAGTTTGTCAACCCTGTCTAGCAAACTCCTATTCCTCATTCTAATTTCATTTCAGTATCATTTCTCTTCTAGGAAGACTGGGATTCTTCCAGGCAAACCAGCTCTCTTTTCATCTCATCTCCCAATAGATTTCCTAACCACGTAGACTTGGTGTGTAAATACTGCTTATTTCTAAACCATTCTCTAGAGTTTTTACTTATTTTAGGATTTCTTTTAAAAGAGTTTTATTTTAGAATTCTCTTATTTAATCCTGGACCTACTCCTATTTATTAAAAGTTCAAACTCCCCTTGCCATAGGCCTCAAGCTGAGATGGGGCTGTGAATAAGAATAAGACAGTAACCCAGATCCTTACAGAGCAGAATGGAGAGCTGGCTCAGAGCCTCCTGAAGGCCTACCTAACTTGGCATACTGCTGCGAAAATGACAGAAGTAAGTATTTTGACTAATCACACCCAGGAATATGGAAACTGCCAACTAGAGGCAAAGACATGAATCCAGAAATTTGTTCACTGATGAGTACCTGTCGTTTTCACAGGGTTTAGGCACATGTATACCTAGACAGCAGGAGAGGTACCTTCTTTTCTTTTGTTAACATGCTGCTGTAAACAGAACCTTCAACAACGTAATTTATAAATCTTTCTGTAAAAATGTAGCCTTGAGGAGTTTTGAGATTAGCTGGCCTGCCTGTCCGACTCTCTCACTCTTTATCTTTTTCTTTTACTCAGTATGCCAGAATAAACTACCTTTCTTGACTTTTAGTAACTTGAGTGATTACTGGTTTATTTCCCCTCCCTGCAAGTATAATTTGTATATAATAAAATGTCCCTACTTTATTTTTAGTCAATTTACCAAGCCGTGTAAATATTACTACAAAATAGTATTAAAGCATTTTCATCATTCCAATAGGATCTTTCATGCACATTTAGTAACAAATCCTAGTTCCTAGCCCTAGGTATCCACGAATTTACTTTTCCACAAATTCACCATTTCTGAATATTTTCTATACAGTCTATATAGTCTCCTGTGTTAGAGACTCTGACTTCTGAGAGCTCCATACTATTTTTACAATTTTTTATAAGAGGAAAATTATTTCAAAATGAAAAGCTGTAAAGATGTTAAGTTTTAATCAACTTGCTTCTGTTTTGAATTGTGTCCTTCAAGAAGATGTACTGAAGTTCTAACTCCTGTACCTGTGAATGTGACCCTGTTTGTAAATAGTCTGTGAGGGTTTTTGTGAGGGCTTTTTTTGTTTGCTTTTTGTTAATGGGATCATACTGGAGGAGGTAAAACCTAAATATAATCCTTTCTGAGTGGTATCTTATGAAAATGGGAAACATACATGAAGAGGCACAGATACACACAGGAGGAAATGCCATGTGAGGATCAATCTACAAGTGAAGGAACACTCAGGACTACCAACAAGGACAGACCCTCCCCTGGAGCTGATGTCCTAATTTGGACTTTTAGCTTCTTATCTGTGAGAAAATTGATTTCTGTCAATGCCTTTGCAATGAAGTGTTGAAGAATACTGACTGCACAACAAACTAATTTGTCTTGAAAGAAGGGCTGCTCCTTGGAGTTGAGAACAGCAAAAAATCGCCTACATACTTGGAACAAGTTATCAAGACTGACTAGTCCCTGGAGAAAGATGTCAGACTTAGTAAGCAGAAGGTCAATGAAGAGGGGAAAACTCTCAAAGAAATAGACTTACAACAGTGGCTGCAGCAATGGGTTCAACATCAGAGATTGTGAGGATGGTACAGAACCTGACAATGCTTCCTTCTGCTATACACAGGGTTGCTCCAAGTGGGAACCAATTTGAAGGCACCGAACAACAACAACACCACTCTGTGGTGTTTTATTCTGGCACCTCTAGGACATGAAAGGAATTACTTTGTCTTCTCACTGGATGGGGCTGATTCAGAGGCTCAGCATTGGTCTCTGTCCCACATGGGCAGGGCCAGATCCTCCTTGGTGAGCGGAGACCATGCAGCTGAGATCTTGGGGCACTTCCTCTTTAACCCCTTGTCTGTTCACAAGTCCACTGTGCCAGCACCAAGACAGCTGATGGAAGGGGCTGGATGTAATCAATCATATTTATATATTGAAACCTCAGTAAAAATTCTGGATGCTAAGGCTTAGCGATCCTCCCTCTTTACAGTCTTCTATGCTAGGAGCAGACAGCTTCTGACTCTACAGGGAAAGGATAACAGAAGACTGGCAGTGGGATCAGACCTTTGCCCATGTGTCTCTCTGTTTAACAATTTCTGATTTGTATCTATCTTTTTGCTGTGATAAATATAATAGAGTGAGTTTTGAGTTGTTTTAGAAGACAGAGTAGTGGGAACCCCAGAATTTGTGGCTGAGTAGACTAGGAAATGTTGGTGACTGTGCCTATAACCTCTGATGTTCAACCTGACATCACGTAGCTAGTGTCAGAAGTAATTTGCAAGAGCAGAGTTATGAAGACGATTTCTTAGCTATTTCAGGATAGCATCTACCTTCTAACTCTCTGGATTTTTTTTAAGCTTAAAAACACATATTTAATGTGCAACAGTGGATCAATGGAAATCCAAGTTCTTTATACACTTTCATTAAAATATTAAAAAAATTAAAATAGTGCTTACAGAGAAAAAAAAGGCTACTAGATTGAGTTGTAGTCAACAAGAGACTTTTATAGCTTTCAGCACCACAGAGATAGCATATTTGAAACAAAACAAGCATAGGAAGACTTGTAGTTACTTCAAATCATCAGAAAGGGAATTGCTCACAATCATAGAAGAACTGCTTATGATTTCTGAATTAAAATAATCTCTCTAGAAAAAAAAAACACAACAAAACACCACCAATCACAGGGTTGCACAATGTGATGGATGGAGGAAGAAGTAGGTAAAGAAAATGGGAAAGATCTCGTGTGAAAAACAATGTATATGAACTTTGTATGTAAATCAGTATAAAATAAAATTTTATTTAAAAAACCAAAACCAAAACTAAACCAACCAAAAAAACCACAGATGTAAATATTACTAAGTAACTGTGAGACCTTGGTTTGGTAAAGAGAGCTACTTAAGAATTTTTATCAGGTGAGCTCTGGTGGCCTAGTGGCAGGAAACTGCACTGCAATCCCAGAGGTGCACGGCTCAAATCCACCAGATGCTCTGCTGAAGAAGGAGGAACAATTGCTTCCTGTACCAGTCAGATCCGATTTGATGGTACACACATAAAATAAATAAATAATTTTTTTTTTTTAAAAAAAAGAATTTTGTATCAAATGGAAGTACTTTTGAAGGGCAAATCCTGTTCTAGGGATTCTATGTGCAATTAGAAACAAGGTCTCCACTTCTGCCCTTTTCCTTTACTATACTGTAGAAGCCTATTAACATTTCTCTCTAGGTATCTCTTTTTCCAGTGAATAGAGGAAACCAGGTTCTGAAAACCCAGTTTCCAAACTCCTCTTCTCATGCAGAGTCAGGAAGCCCTGTGCTTGCATCCCCCTCCTCTGGTGGCTTTCTGCTCCTCCACTTCCAGAGGCAGGAGTTTAGGCCCTCACCCCTGGAATCTGTTGGGAGCTGGCTGCCTTAGCCATCCTCAGAAGAGTTTTCAGTCTTAGTAACTGAGTGCTTACCTTGGGGAATCTTTCTTTGTACACATGATTCATCATTATTATTTCACTGTCAAAGGAAACTGGAGATCGTCCTGGACTAAAAAAGAAAGAAATGAACGCATTACTTTTGTGTTACGTAAATACTTAGCAGAGATATGACCCTTCAGAGCTCCTTCCTGACACTGTCTTCAGTGCTCTAAAGAGAACAGCTAATTAAGGAATACACAGACAGATCAAGTGTGTGGGTTTGATTTGATGAAGTGACCTCAGGTGATGCAGGGAAGAGACCTGTATTCCAAGCATTATATTCTACATTTAAAATGGTCATCTTCTCAAATCGTCCTCCTGCGTTTTCAGCAGTAACTTTCTGGCTGCCACAGCTCACATACCTTAGGCCTACAAGTCAGGCTGTGCAGCCTCGTAACCATCAGAACTGATGTTACTACTATTCTCCTGTAACTACATGGAATCAAAAGCTTATTTCTACAGTTAACTACTTGTAAAAGGGGTGGAGGGGGAAGAGAATTGCTTAACAACATCCCCAGGGACCATGAGGTGTAGTGGGCTGAAGTGCAGCTGAAGGCAGAACGTCCCTGAGATTCCTGGCTCACTCATGCATTATCCCAGAGGCTGGACAACCGTGGCCCAAGGGACAGAGCTAGCCTGCTGCTTGTTTTTATAGATGTTGCTTTTATAGATGTGATTCTGAATCACAGTGATTTATAGGAGAAAGCAGAACTGCCCAGTTTCTGAGGCTGTAATCTTTATAAGAGTCTACTGTTAGAAAAAGAAAATCCTTAGGTAAGATGGGTTGACACAGTTGCTACAACAATGGGTTCAAACACAGCAATGACTGTGAGGATGGCATTTTTCTGTTGTACATAAAGTCATTACAAATAAGCATCATGTATCAACAACAGCAGCAGTCTTTAGAGAAGCAGGTTGTCAGGTCTTTTCTCCTGTAAACTGCTCAGGGATTGATTCCACAGGAATTGTTAAACTGAGCAGTTAACCTATGTGTCAAAGTTTATGTTTCTGTACTGCAATGTTGTTGTTTGGTGTTGCTGAGCCAATGATGACTCACAGGGACCTTATGGACAACATATTGGCACCCTCGCTATCTGGTGCCATCGTCACGATCCTGCTAGAGACCTCTGTTGCAGATACTGTATCAATCCATCTCACTGTTGAATAGTTGTGACAGAGCCTGTATGGTCCACAAAACTTGAAATCTTTACTGGATGGCCCTTTACAGAAAAAGGCTGCTGGCTCCTGTGCAATACAGATAAGCTGAGACCCACAGGTACCTGGCATGGGGCAGAGAGTACTCCTCACCTGAGGCTGCGAGAGCGGGGCCGCATGGCTGGGGACTGCCGTCCCTCCTCATCTGGAACGCTCTCAGTGCTGAAATGCTTTGTCAGAAAGTGTAGCTCATCAGCCGTGGGCTGGAAGGGCAACTGGTGCAGCTTTTCCTGTGAGGAGCATGAAGACTACAAAGGAAAACGTTAACAAATAGCATTAAACACACGACTAAAGGCAGTCCATAGAGAAAGAACTGAAAGGTGGTCAGGGGTTTCCTAGTCGATGTTCCAAATAAATCCTGAAAGGACAGTCTTCTTTCCCTTGGTCCCCCTTTGCTTTGACTGTTCATCTCTAGCCCTGCAGAGGCTTCAGATCTCAGGAAGTCAAAGTAGTTTCATCATCATTCAGGACACTTACTGGGTGGTAACCTATATCTTTTATGAGGTGCAAGAGATCCATTAAGTACTGAGAAGCCCTTTTAGGTAGTAAAAAGCATATTTATCTACATGGATCCTTTGCCACTGATGAAGTTTAGAACAGCTGGAAGGATGAACAATTAGGAAACCATACTGGTCAGGATCAGGGAATGTTCTAAGAATTTTCACCCTGCAAATGACATCCCCTTAAAGTCTTTCCTGCCACAAACCTTTGGAGAGTCACCCCATGAATAGCTCAGCATTGTTTCCTCTTGGCTACCATTCAAGGGAAAGATGGCTTTACTGAGGTTCTGATGACTGTGCCCAGACTCTAGGGAATATCACTGAACCAGGAAATATAATAAGGAAAATTATCTTTAGACCCAAAAAAAATACCTGAACGCAAAATAATTATGAGTTTCAGATATGACTCAATAGTAGAATTCCTTCAATAGCCCAACACTAATCAAAACAGATCATTTGAGGGTGGAAGTAGCTTGTATACTAGACACTCCACAGCACAGCTTCTGCTGCGGCCCTACTTGGCTCCGAAGTCTCTGGATTCCCGTGCATTTGACACACTACTGAGAAAGGAAGCATTTCAAACACCACAAGCCCATGGCCTTTCCACTCATTAGTGACCTGGGATTTAACATCTAAAGTCAAAGCTAAAGTACACTGAGGGAACTCTTGCTATACGACGTAAGTCTGAATACCAAAGGAGAAACTAGCATTTCTTTGGCTAACAGAGTAGGCATCTCTCATGGAATGCCATTAATACATGAAGCTGTCAACAGTCTGAAGGAAGTTTTTACAAGATTCTGTGTTGGATGCATTTTAGAATAATTTGCATAAAGCTACAAAGAAGTGTCTTTACCCAACTACAGTTACCAGGAAGAAGTTAAGATAGGAGCACTGTGGTACAATAAGAAGCAGTAATGGACAGAGGCTATAAAAATTTAGACTGAACAGGTGTAACTATAAGACTTTTATCTTGGGTAAAGAATATCTGTCTGAGTAAAGGATTATGGGAGAAGTACCATATTAAGGGAGTTCTGATGGCATAGTCCATATTGAGTGGCACAGCTAATCCAAAGATCACACCTGATGGTTCAAATCTACCAGGGGCTCCTCTGGAGAAAGAAAAGCAATCTCCTCCTATGTAATTTATAGCCTCTGAAAATTCAATGGAGGGTCAGCTTTGGTAAGTTAAGTTTCAAAGGCAATAAGAGTTTATTAACTATTAAGGTAAGATCTGAAGCTTTATCCTGTCAAAAGCCATTATGCTCTTTAGATTAATTTAAGACTAGCAGCTAGGCCATGGGAGAAAGGCATACTACCTTCTCTTCCGGGATTCATGAGTATGGGCAAACTGAGGAAAGAAGACTTGAAGAGTGGCTGAAAGAATGGGGAAGGGGTCATGTGGACTGTGGCTTGTTTTATGTGACCCACTAAGCCAGATAATTTGTTATTTGCTTTATTATCTGGCCCTGTACAGGACAAAGTTCACCAACCCTGCCATGCAGGCTTCAGTAAAAAGTCTCTCAACAACGAACATACATTTTAGGTTAATTGTGCACAGTAAGGATTTAGACATCTGTTGTGCTTCATGTTAAAATACTCCCTAAAAGAAAAGTAACCAAAAATTTTAGACACAGGCCTAGCTGTTAAGCTGATACACACCCAACTTAAATGTCAAGTAAGACTCATTCTTTCTTTTTCAAGAAAAAAGAGACAGAATTAGGTAGGTCAAATGGTGGGAAAGAGGGAGGGGATCTACAAGGACTTTAGGGACAGAGAAGATCATCTCTTTGTTGCAATTCTAGAGATTAGGATAAGGAAACATTGCTTAAAACCTCACACCTGAGCTTCAATGGCAAAAAGCAAAAATCCTCCCACCCTCAAGCGATTTTGCTAAACTGATTCTCAGAGATGGTGCTGGTTGTCCTTTCCAAAGGCATTTCATGTGGTTGCTCAGGGTCATAGCATTCAGCCTCATTAAGTCTTGTCTCCAATGATCTTGCAGGAAGAAAATTTGAGAACCACCTTACAATACTGTTAATGTCAGAAATCAATAAACTACAGTGAAGTATATTTTTCTGGGTAAAGAAGTTATGGCTACAGATTTTGCTACTTACTGAGACAGTGGAGCTAGGAGTGTTGGTTCCATAGCCTGAAGAAGGCAAAGAGGCCAATGACCAGCGCCGTCCATCAGTCCTGTATAAGAAAAAACTTATTAAGAGAGTTTCCATGGACCCCATCCTAGGCTTAGAATCTGTCCTTCCATCACCATATTTTGGTAGTTAGTTAACTGTTAGGCCCCTCCTTATCTCAAAATGGTACTGCTGTGTCTACTATATGCTTTTATCTCTCTCTTTTACATCGTAGTCAACAGTTAAATGTTTTCTATTGCAAAAATTATAAGAGTGCACAACTTTGACAACCAAGAAGAAGTGAACTATCATCTCTGTCTACAAACTGAGTGTAAATCCATTGATGACAAATCATTAAGGGCTGCATAAAACTCAAACTCATTGCCACCGAAGCAGGACCAGATCATAGCTGACCCCACGCTGAGTTTCAGAGTGACCCCATGTTGAGTTTCAGAGGCTGTAAATTACACGGGAAGAGACTACTCCTCTTTTCTCCCTTTGCTCATGTAGTCAAAGCGCGAGCAAGACACCATCTACGGAGTCCAAATCCCAGTGACACCAGAGCTCCCTAAAGGTTCTAAAAGATCCATTAAAAAACAAACAAAAACAAACCACCTTCTCAAAAAGCAAAACAAAAAACCCAAAACCCAACCAGTGGCAATCAAGTCATAGTGACCCCATGTGTGGAAAGTAAAAAGGCTCCAAAGGGTTTTCAAGGCTGTGAACTTCAGGAAGTAGATTGCCAAGGCTTTCTTCCAAGGTACCTTGGGTGAGTCTGAAGTGTCAATCTTCCGGCAAGGATACTTGTGCTTAACCACTTGCACCACTCATAAAACCATCTTTGAGAATGTTTGCCAAAAGCATGAGAGTAACTTTACAAAAGAGGAGGGAATTAGTATGTTGGTCTTATACTTAGGGCCTTGAGAGTGGTCTGCTGCTGCTCTTGAGATGATGCTCCCCAAAGCTCATCTGCTTTGTCATAGGGGAGAAAGATCAAGCAAGTATCTGAATGGTTTGAAGCCTTTATAATATAGACATGTGAGGTTTTTCCTGGACTGAAATGGATGGTGCAACAGAAAAGTTTCTCATGCAGATTGAGAGTATATACCCTGCTCTGGTTATAGCTGGCTGGATAAAATGATTTGTGCAATTTGTCATAGAACCTTAGAACATCAGCAATGTAGGGTTTTAAGAATTGACTACAAAACTCTCAACTTACACAAAACACCAAGACCCAGAGATCTCTGTATGTGTGTGTTTGTAAGTCAGAGGGCTGAGAGAGGAGGAATAAAAAAGAGAAATAATTTTCCTAAGGACTTCTCATTTTGAAGCACTCTTCCCACCACCATCAATACTTAGCAGCCTTGTTAGCTATATTCTGTAAGAGAGGAGCCCAGAGTTCCATGCTGCATGCACAGGATTCAAACTGCATGCCACCCAAGCAGCCAGCACCCATCAGTTAAAGCTCTGCTGGAACCTAGACTCTGAGGCGAAGGAATGGTCAGGAGAAGACTCAAACATAATGTCCTCTCCGATCTATTTGCAGGGTCCTAGAGCACTGCACAAGATGGGTAAGGGATACATTTTTTAAACCCTTGTCAAGTTGTATTTTCCATATGAAAATGTCCCCCCTTTACATAGAAATGGAATAAAAAACCCCATTTCTCTGTGCATACCGAAGATCAGAGGGCTACCTGCTGGGGGAGGAGGATGGGACACATACCTGCCATTATAGGATGCTTCTATGTCTTCTACTTGGTCACCTATCTAGGTGACCTGTCAAAAACCAGCAACTTAAAACTATTCAGCAGTTGGACTAGTAAGCAATTCTCGCCTCCAAAAACGTAAACTCTGAGCTTTGGTTCCAGTAGGCAGTGGGGAATTCTTTAGGGCCTCTTTGCTAGACATGGAAGGCCCAATGTTCATATTACAGCCAGAGAATAAATGCAATCAGAGCTCACCAATCACAAACCCTATATCTGGCCATGCATAGCGGCTTCCCAGCCCCTCTCCCCATCACATCCCCTATTACCTGTCTGCTCTGTGGCCATGGCTGTAGCGAAAAGATATACATTACAGTGAGAACCAAAAGAAACTAGAGGTTGATCTACTTTGATCACTGCTTGGTGGAAGTAAACTTAGTTTAGAAATGTGTACATATCAGAAATGAAAATTTAGGATGGGACTTATTATATGTCTTTTGTATGATATTCCAAAGTGATGTATACATAAAGTTCAAGCCTGAGGCCTAGTAACCTACAGACAAACAGTTCCCGCATCCCTGGAAGTCACAGATTAGATTAGATCCCAAGAATAATACCAAGTCTCAAAGCCCCTTAATTACTTCTATTCCTGAAGCAGGAATTGTTTTTCTATTATGTATTTAATAGAACAGTCTGTTTTAAACAAAATTAGTCTAGGGGTAGAAACTGCCCTGGCCTCAGACTCTTTTATTCTCTATCATTTATTTAAAGGTTCTAACTGTAGATAGCAGAGATTGATTCGAACCAAAAAAATTTTAATAATCAAAGGGCACAAAATCAAGTCGACAGAGACTCTTATAAAATGTTTTATAAAGCCAATCACTTGTGTGTGGGCTTTGGTATTTAGTTTGGACAGATTCATCTCAACCAGCTCAGCACTCTGGGAATGGGCTAAGCTGTCAAGATTGCTACACTGTGCTGTCAATAGGAATAAATTTTTTAGAAGGGGAGAAATAAAAAAAAGAAATACAGGCATGGCTCTGTATGTACCATAGCATTCTAAAGTCTCGTAAATGAAAAGGCCATTTTGATTACTTACAGTTTTAAATTTATAGCCAAAAAGAGAGCACTAAAAGTCCCTCCCAGATCCTTAGAAATAGCTGAGTTAAAGGAGCAACAGTATGGAAGCAAAGCCCATTTTGATCACCTTACTGAGAGTATAATGCTTTGAAACATACCACTCTGTGAAACAGAGGGGACCCTGCAGTGGCTTTTCTGAGGCTGTAAATCTAACAGGAGGAGACCGCCCCTCTTTCTCCTGCACAGTTGCTGGTGGATTTCAACCTTCAAAAAGGTGCAGGTTTTGGCTTAGCACTACAGCTCGTATGGATGATGCCATCAGAGCTCCCTGTTTGTAAAGTAGAGGGTCAGTGAAAACGAACACCCTCAATAAGACGGACTGGCAGAGTGGCTGCAGCAATGAGCATAGTAACAATTGTGAGGATGGTGCAGAACTGGATGGTGACATGGAAGTCACTATGAACAGAAATCAACTTCATGATACCAAACCACAATCTTTATTAAAAAAGACTGCCACATCTTTTCCCCTGGAATAGTCAGGTGGTTCAAACTGCCAAACTTTTTGTTTGTAGCCAAGAGCTTACCCACTGTTCCAGGGCTCCTAATTTGTGATCAGTATTATAAAAAGAAGTCTACTGCTATCTACTGCAGCTCTGATGGCTTAGTGTTAAGAAGTTGTGTTCCCAACCCAAAGGCATGCAGTTTGAATGCACCAGCTGCTGCACGGGAAGGAGATGGGTAAGCTCTTCTTGTGCTAAAATTTATAGCCTCTGTAAAAACACTGGAGTGTCAGCTATGACTCGACAGTAGAACAACAACATCCATTCTCTTAAGGCTCAAATACTCAAATGCATACACTCATGGCATCTAGAAAGCAAAACCTGAAAAAGATGAGGACAGCCTCGGAGAGCAAAGCAGGAAAGATTTTTTGATGGTAACACAACTGTGCAGTCCAAGGTAACACAACTGAAGGAGAGTTACATTCCACTGCCATTCATGCAAATGTCACACATGTTAATCCCAAGAGAGATTTTCTCCCAACTTACCTACGGGCAGGAACAAAGGAAAAATGAGCAGGTGCATTTGGAGAGAAATTCCGGGGGCTATCCAAAGGACTGTTACCTGCAGATGGTGAAAGCAAAAGAAACTCTCAGTCAGATTTGCTTCTGAGGAAAACTGTGAACATAAATGGAGATTTGCACATCAATGTTCATAGCAGCATTATTCACCATTGCAAAAACATGGAAACAGCCCAAAAGTCCAACCCCAGTTGAATGAATTGAGAAATTATGGTATATTCAAACGACAGACTATTACACAGCATGCAGGAGAAATGATTTTGAAAATCACTACAACTTGGGAGGGACTGGAGAGCATTATGCTAAGTGAACTAACTCAGTTCCATAAGGACAAATGCTATATAAGACTATCATTGTAGAAATAGAAAGATAATTAGTAAAATGTGAATGAGGATCCAAGGAGGGGGGTAGGAGCAGAGGGGTAAGGATGGGCAGGTGGATAATCATAGGGTCACATAATCTGATTGGGGTTGGTAAAGGAAATGGGAAATATCTGGTGGAAATAAATGTATACGAACTTTGTAAGTAAACCAGTATAAAAGAAAAATTTTATTAAAAAACCCAAAATACACATGTTTTAAAAAAAAAAGAAATCTTCGCCTAGCATTGACACTTAGCATATATGGCTGTTTCTACAAGCCTACTGTCTGTTTAAAGATTCTCCCTTTGTAAAAGGTTGACAGCTGAGAAATTTCCTTCTCACAACCCATGTCTTTAAAAAAAATCTAGGAGATTGAGCAGTGTTGTGTTGTTGCTACGTGCCGTTGAGTCACTTGTGACTCATAGCGACCTTGCGTACAACTCTGAAACCTGCTCTATCATGAGCCAATTTCATTGTCTCCAATACACTTACCCCTATTACCCCAGTCACTGAGTCAATTCATCTCATCCAGGGTTTTCCTCTCCTATGCTGTTCTCCACCCTTCCAAGCATGATGTCCTCCAAGGACTGATTCCTCATGTCAACATGCTCAAAGTATGTCAGACAGATCTTTAAAATCCCTGTCTCCAAGGAGCAGCCTGGGTTTACCCTCTCCAAGACAGACTTGTTTGTTCTCTTGGCAGTCGACAGTATGTTCAACGTTCTTCTCCAGCAAGACAACTCAAAGACATCTATTCTTCTAAATTAACCTTAATGTCCAGCTCTGTGATGCATAGCAAGTAATTGCAAAGACCATGGCTCCTCTATTTCCTGACCATTTAGGAAATTTTATTCTGTAATCAGCTTACTCAAGTTAACTTGACTATCTACAGCCATAAAGAAATCACCCAGTGCATATGGCTGGCTGTAGGAAAGATATGACAGAGTTAAGAGTGCAAAATTTTCTCAAAGGGCAATAGGAATTTTGATCTAAAAGCCTCCTGAACATTTTCCCCCATACACTACATACAGGAGGCTAAACAAGAAATGTATATGCTGTAAGGAGAATCAGGTTATTGGGTTATATATTCTGAGGCTCAGAATAGAGTGTCTATACTTAGGGTTCTGAGATCGTAAATCACATACATAGTCATAATCACTATCTTGCTACATGAGTCCCCTGTAGCTTGTTTACTTAAAACTCAGAAATTTTGAACAAAATGATGGACTTATCTTTGTGCAGTCACAACAAATGTTACATTTCTGTGATCTATTCTTCAACTCTGGCTTGTTAGGAAGGTGGCATAAATTGTCAGTGTTACTTCAACTAAAAGGCCTTATCAGGTAAGCACCATACTTCATGAGGTGGTTGTTGTTAGATGCTGTTGAGTCTAGTCATAGGGATCTAAGAACAATCGATCTGAACACTGCCCTATCCCATACCATCTTGAGACTGACACACTCAATGCCATTGCCACAGTCATCTTGTTAACCCATTTGGTCGATGGTCTTGCTCTCTTTCACCGCCCCTCCACTTCCCAAACATGATGTCCCTGTCCAAGGAATAACCTCTCCTAGCAAAAGGTCCAACATATGTGAGCCAAAGTGTTAATCATCTTTATCTCCAAGGAGCACTCTGGATGTACCTTCTCTATGACGTATCTGTTTGTTCTCCTGGCAGTCCATGGGATTGTCAGCATTCTTCTCCAACACCAGTTCAAAGTCATAAATTCTTTTTTTATAATACTTAAGTCATATTCAAGCTCTCATATGCATAGGAAGTGACTGAAAAGACCAAGCCTGAAATGGGTTCACCTTAGTCCTCAAACTGACATCATTACTCTTCAATAATTTGGAGAGGTCCCTGACTACAAAACTTCCTAGTGGAATAGGTCTCCTGATCTCCAGCATGCTGATACCAAGTGTACTGATTATGGATTCAAGTGAGATGAAGTTGTTGGCAATATCAATCCTTTCTCCATCATGATGTTGCTTACTGGTCTAGTGGTGAGGATTTCTGTTTTCTTGACACTGAGATGGAAACTCCATGAGGTACTGATCCCTATAATTACCTCTGTGAGTCTATGTTTGCTACAAAAGATCACACATATTCAGGGACCTGGTAGCTCAGAGTGTCTTAGCCTTCTCTTAGATTTTGTTTTTCTTTCCTTTGAAAAGAATATGGATGTTCCAAAGGGCTAGAATGCTGCCCCATTGTTTCACAACATCTTGAATTGAAAATTATGCTGTTGTTAGCGGGCTGTCAAGTCAACCATGAACAACAGGTCTAAAACCTTGTCCTAGCACCCTCACAATCTCTGCTACGCTCAATCCCCTTGTTGCAATCACTGTGTGAATCCCTCTTGTTAGAGAAATTTTCATCACTCTTGCATCAGTGGAGCACCCTAGTTGCACTTCCATCAAAATATATTGGTTTGTTTTGTTGGTAATGCATGGTATATACGATGCTCTTCGACAACACCATTAATTCAAGGGCATCAATTCTTTAGTCTTCCTTATTCTTTGTTCAACTTTCCTATGCATATGAAGGAACTGAAAACACCATGGCTCAGTTCAATCACACCTTAATTTAAACTGACATCTTAGTGCTCTAGCACTTTAAAGACAGTAAATGTGCCCAACGAAGCATACCTTTAGCTTTCTTTTTTTAAGAAAAGCCAGCATAAAGCACTTTTATTGCAGTAATAAAACTTGAAACTCCTATGTGGTGCAGAAGATGAGGGGAGGGGGACAGCGTCAACTTCTCTCACCAAGTCACTACACAGGACAGCAGAGGGGTGAGAGGGGGAGAGAAGCCAGAAAACTGAGGACAGTAGGGAGGGATGCTGAAGCTGCGATGACCAACATCATTTTCTGAAAAGAACACTCAAGAATTTGTCTTGATGGCTGGGCTTTCACTGGGTGGTTAAGTATCTACAAACAGCACCTTCAATTTAAACTTTCAATTAAAGTTCTGAAAATTTAGGAAGTGGCTGAGCTTTGATAGCTTTGAGATTACAAAGGTCCTGAAAATCCATTAGAAAAATCACAGGATGGCAAAAAAAAATAATAAAAATTATCTAAGCCAGGCCACAAAGGTGGCTTCTGAAGCCTCTGTTGGCACCGGCACAGATCCCTGTACTGACACTGCAGTGAAAGCAATCTGTTTGAGACAGGCAGAGGGTCTGCGGGGAGGGTGGGACTGGTTGGGGGAGGCAAAGGCTCTCCCTTTCCCCACTTCAGTTCTGGGGAGGGCTTGTAATTTAACCAAGGACATCTCCTCAATGTGGAGAACAGTTCAGCCCTCAACAGCTCCTCACATCTGTTATGGCTTGGCAATGCAACAGCAAGAATGTTTAATATATAATAAAAATCTCATCCAATTAAAAAAATACTGTAAAATAAAGTTTCTTGAGCTCCTCCTCTCAACCCTCCCCATCCCACTGAGTCCTATTCTACAGTGAACCCACTGTTTGTGCTATTAATACTAGATCACATGCTTCAGTTAACCATGAAGAAATGCTCCAGATCTTTTGCATTCTTCATGGATGGAATTTTTTAGAAGAACAATTTGATTTTGCTAAGAGTTATACAATGGATTATGCTGCTGCAAGACACTGTAGAGTTGGAACCAACTCATAAGCTGCCCCTATTATAGTGGGTTTTCAGAAGCTGTATAATGCATGGGAGGAGACTGCCCATCTTTCTCCTGTAGAAGAGAATCAACAATTAAATTGTGGCAAACTTAAGCAATGGACTATGTTATAGGTAATAAAATAATAACTGATTAGGAAGGTTCTCTATACAGAATGGCCAACTAAACAATTAATAAACTAACCCTGGAGAAGGACAACATGCTTAGAAGAGTGGAGCGACAGGGCAGGACAGGAAGACCTTGGATGAGATGGACTGACACAGTAAATGTAGTAATGGGACTAGGTGTGTTGGAGACTGTGAGACTGGCTTAGGATAGGTCAGAGTTCAGTGCTATGAGTCGCAGGTGACTTGTTAGTACATAACAACAACAACAATTTATATATAACTCAATACTGTCAAGTTGATGCTGATTCCTAGTGACCTGCTTTCCAAGGCTATAAATTTTAATGGGAGAAGACATCTATTTTTTTGTAAGAGAGTCAGTGGTAGATTTAAACTACTGGCAAAGGTCAGCCTTTTGGTTATCAGTACAACACACTACAGTCTTAAGTCATCAGAGTACTAGTCTTTTTTTTTTATTGTATTATTTTTACATGTACTGTCAAATCAGATCTGACTGGTACAGGAGGAGATTGCCCCCTCCTTCTCCAGCAGAGCATCTGGTGGATCTGAACCGTGTACCTCTGGGATTGCAGTGCAGCGTCTTGCCACTAGGCCACCAGAGCTCCCTTCAGAGTACTATTCTTTAAACATAATAGATAGCTAATGTTGAAGACTAAGAAGGATATTGCATTTATAATAAAAAAGAACATTTTAAGATCCTGAAATACAAAGTCATGGGTGATAGGATACTATCCATACAAGGAAGCCCTGTTAATACAACTATTATTTAAATATATGCACCAATCACTAATGCCAAAGATGAAGAAATTGACATTTATCATCGTTTGTAGCCTGATATTGATAACATACAATCAAGAAACATTAATAGTAATTGGCGACTGGAATGTGAAATTTGGAATAAAA